ATTGAAAAACACAAGTGTGGATCCGGAAATACAAGTGTGAATCCTTTTGCGGATCATGAAATACAAGTGTGAATCCTTCTGTGTGCATGTGTGTATTATGAGACTGTTCTGAGCCCATATACCACGGCCTGTCGTGAGCTATTGCTTAAATATATGTATATCACATCGCACAATGACATACTATTCTTGCATAATATATGTTAAAATATTCTTTCAGACAGTACCTGTTTAAAATGGAAACTTTTTATTTTATTTTCCTTTTTAAATAAATATAAATGTCATGTTCAAACAATACACGAAACAAGAGTATGAAACGCAATTTAAAGGGATCCTATTAAGCTTTTTCCCTTTTCTGTAGTGTGTTCTGTAGGTTTCTGTGCATGTAAATGGTCTGCAAAGACTACAATCCCTGTGTTCCCTCCAGAGGGAGTTTGTTTACTTCCTGATGTAACACTTGCGTTTCTATTGGCTAGCGCTCCAACACATTGTATATGTGAGGGGACATCTCAAAGCAGTTGACCAATCACAACAGAGCCGGCCAGCTAACCAATCAGAGCAGACTGGGCTCTGGTTTCAGATAGAGAAAAAATAAAGAGCTTTATGGAGACATGTCACAGTAGAGACACTACATACTGATATACACCTGAACATCAGCAGGAGAGGACTCTTTAAAGTAGAGACACTACATACTGATATACACCTGAACATCAGCAGGAGAGGACTCTTTAAAGTAGAGACACTACATACTGATATACACCTGAAAAAGAGCAGAATATGTCCTCTTTAAGATGTCTGATCTCACTGAGTCTTCCTTCAGTACCCTCACATATTCCTGGTTGTAACATCATCTATTAGTGCTATTAATGCTTGCACCGCAACTTGCTATTATTGCCCACTTGGTGGCACCAGTGGATAAAAGGTGATCTTAGTTGTCTAAAAAACATTTTTTAAGCCATAGTGGTTGTAATGAAAACAAAATAACTCTTAGAAGCCGAACAAACTTATTTTTATTATTTTTTTCTTAAATGTCTCTTTGAAGTTGTCTACAATCTCCTTTGACTGTATTTCAGGTCCTGACACATTATGGGACACATTCCTCCCATAATGTGTCAATATGCAAGCAGGGAAGATGTGTACCAGTGTCACTGACATAGACACACTCCATGTAAAACACACACACACACAGATTATTTAAATAGACACAGAGACAAAAACACACACGCAGCTCTCAAAAGCTAGGACAGTAATTACGTGTCTAAATCTGACAGAGCGTCCAACCGCCAATGTCTGGCTGCCTGCCAGTGTGTGTGTGTGTGTGTGTGTGTGTGTGTGTGTGTGTGTGTGTGTGTGTGTGTGTGTGTGTGTGTGTGTGTGTGTGTGTGTGTGTGTGTGTGTGTGTGTGTGTGTGTGTGTGTGTGTGTGTGTGTGTGTGTGTGTGTGTGGTTGTGCACTTGCATCGGTGTGTGTGACATTGGTAGAGACAGGCTGGCTGGAATCTGTTGAGGGAAGGGTTACTGAGGGTGTTGCTGTACTCAAGAACACACACACACACACACACGCAAGAAAGGGCCAGGCAGTGCCACATCACCCACCTCACCCAACGGCCCATTTCACACAAACTCTCACCCTCACACACTGTTTAGCGTCCTGCAATACCACATAGACTCTCCTATAAATGTGTGATACCCATGTATTCTACTGCCAGCTAACATCTACTTGGGTTGTGTCTCCAACTAATAATGGAAGTAATATTTTGAGGTATTTCTGCTTAAGTATTTCAATGTTACTTCTACTTCACTACATCTCATCTCAATACTACTTTTGGAAAGGTTTAATTCAGTTTAAGATATATGGCATTTACATATTCTAGGCCTCTAAACTGAAACATGTCCCTGTCTCCTCTTTTTTTTCTTCCTGGTTTGTCAATCAAGATACAGATAGGTGACAAATGGAAATAAAAACCACCATAACACGAGTTCTCCAATTCTCATGAGCTCTACTCAAGGGATGACTATCATTCTTCCCCTATATTAGATGTTTTGTTTAAGACAAATCTCCAAAATCAGCCATAGCTGTTCCATTAGGGTAATATCTGATGACTTCAAAGACCGTATAGCATGTGGTTTTCATACTAAATTTCAGACTCCTTAAACAATTTAGTGACCCTTTGTGCTCCTTGGTCAAACAGTCACATGTCACAGGTCATGATAGGATGTTAATGTGACATGTATAATTGGTTATACATGACATATAAGGGTTTCACTCTAAATTCTAAAGCCTACCACACAGGGGGGCATGCTGGGTTGTATAACATGCAACAGACTGAGTCAGTCCTCCCCTGAGGGCAGACATTTTCACCAGACCACATTACTGCAACAGGCAGGCTCACGTTCTCTCTCTCTCTCTCTCTTTCTGTGTGTAGGTGTGTGTGTGTGTCCTGATCAGATATGCTATGTCCTCAACTGCAGGCACACATGTGAAAGACAGTATATGAGGTACAGAGGAAGGAGGGGAGTTTATAGTTTAACACTGAGAAAGAAAGTCAAAGAACAAACGTCATGAAGAAGAAATGTAATGTGTGTGTGTGTGTGTGTGGGGGGGGATCCTCCCTCCCTTGGGGTTGTGCACAGGCTTGTTGCAGCAACATTCCTCCACTCAGCTGCTTCTGAACAGCACATTCCTGTAAGAGAGAGATGGAAAGAGAAAACTGAGAGAGTAAAAGGGGGAAGAGAGAATATACTAAGAAAAAATAGTGAATTAAAGAGGGAGAAAGAGGGGGGTGAATAATGATGGGAAGATGTTAATAATCTATTAATGTTATAGTAAATATACTATGTAATTGATTCCTAGTGTAAGCAGCTTCTCCACAGAGGGGTCCACAGGTCAGGGTCACATACAGTACAGAGAAAACAGAAGCAGTGCTGAGAAAAGGAAGTGACACGGAGAAGGGGGGGCGGGGGGGTCTCAGGGGGCCACAATGTATTTTCTTAAAATATTATTCCCCATATACATCCATAAAACACACATAGTGTACACACACAGTAAAGTAGAGGACTCGTTGGAGTGTGTTTATCCCCTCAGTGTGCTTGACCTGTTTCCAGTGAACTGTGGAAGAAAGACACAAATCTCACCACAAACACACACACACACACACACACACACACACACACACACACACACACACACACACACACACACACACACATTATGCTACAGCCATGATTATGCTCCTCTATAAAAACATAATGGGGAAAACAGATATATTACATAAAGACTGGGCTCATTAGAGTTTATGGCTTGAAAATAAGAACACTAAAGTTTTTGATAAGTCAAATGATCAGATGAAAACATCACAAGATCATACAGAGACGGGTAACAATGCCCTACATTCCCTAGGTTGAGCTTCTCGTGTGTTTATTTGTGTGATTTCACCTGAATATGTTTTGTTTTCCGCTTTTGAATCTTTCAAATCTTGATGTTGTTGACTCAAATTTCACTTTTACTTTGGGAGCAGGGAGTAGAGGAGAAATAAACTCAGGCAAGAGAGGCACAGACGAGAGCAAAACAATTATAAATGCTGTTATGAGACATGAAAACCAACTTTTCCTTCTGGGAGAGGAGAAGCTTCACAGAAAAGAAAACAAAAAAACATTTACTGAGGATAACAAGCAAATAATCTTAAAGACAAGAGCAACAGAAAGCAGTCTGTGTGTGAGCGCTTGTTGGCTCAGTGATGGCGTCCCGCTCCTTCTCTCTCTTCCTCACACTGAATGGACGGGTCTGTTTGTTGTCGCTGGTAGAACTAAAGGAAAACAATGCCACTCGATCCCCTTCTGTGTGTGTTTGTTGTTTATTGGAAGACGGTCAATCATGCATAAGTGTCTATTGAGTTCCTTTCCCCCAAACAGCTCTTTTCAGAATACTAATTTATCATTTTCTCTTTTATCGTCTTCTCTCCATCCCAGCAACTTTGTCTTTCCTTATATTTGACACACACACACACACACACACACACACACACACACACACACACACACACACACACACACACACACACACACACACTGAACATTAGTGGAAATGTTTCATGATAATGTGTTTCTATTTCTGGTCGTATTTTAATCCAGATTATATATCTGACCCTTTAGGCTGTCAGCTGCTTCTTCCCTCTACCTCTCTCTCATGACTTATTATGGGACATTTTAACGCTTGTGTTGTAACATTGGTACTTATGTAAGCAACTTTTTAAAAATAAATTACATTAAATGTAAGAGTATGAAGTTATTCCCCTTATTACAGCAGTTGAAATCACAACATGGGCAGGTTTAAAACCATCAGATAACAAAAAATGTAACAAAAACACATGTAGGCCTATATTAAACAATATATCCAGTCTCATTATAGTATAAAGTTATAGAGCCTAAAAGATGAACAGCATTTTTCACACCAAATACAAAAGCAAAATATGTTTTATTGGCATAACAAGAAAATAAAAACATGTTTCAAGTTTGACACAACTTTTTATATTTGATTATAAACTGTTGAAAGGTAAGAATTTGTCCTTGATACATCCAGTAGTTAGTTGTGTTTAAAAAGCCTACATACACTCACAACCCATTATCACAAACTTGGCAGTATGAATACTCAAGCTATAAAATACATCTCTCAAATGAAAGTCTGAAATACACTTTACTGAGATTACTGTATGTATTAGTATAACTACACAATGGACATAATCAATATACATTACAGTATTAGACTTACTGTAAATCATAGTCGTTGTATTTATTTTACAGTGAATAGCGTCAAAACGACAGGCATACATTGTATCCAATCAGACGTGGCTCTTTTGTGGAGCTACATCCATGCTAGCCAATGGGATTCTGAGCTCTTGTGTAAATTATCCAATCACAGATCAGTATATGCTGGAAGGGGAGGGCCTTGTTCTCCCTCGGCTTTGCCCAGTCCGGATGTTCCCCAGTAGCAAATAACGAGCAGCAGTGTGTGAATGTGGCAACCGAGGTAGACAGGGAGGGGTAGATAGACTGACCAGACCTGGGATTTTTGTATTTTTCCTTAATTTTTCTTTTCCTACTGAGCAAAGGGTTCACAGTTTATGTGACGCCTCGGTTGTTAACTTGTTCGTAGACGTGAAACCCCGACCGCTACTGCCTTTCTCTGGGACTTACCGTTACCGTGAAACAGCCCAGAAGAAAGAAGGGAGAAACAACATGGGGCGATAATAAAAAAGGTGTTGTGTTATGAACCGACGATGACTCTCTGGGAAGATCCGTGAAGCCTATTTATTTTTATTTATTCCCCCCCTCCTCTCTTTCCCTTGTGTCCATCTTTTGTTGTTTTATTTTTGAATTTTCTGCCCCCCTTGCTACTTCGGGAGGTTGTTTTTAAAAGGAAAAGGATACGTTACAAGAGGACTGAAGGATGGACCAAGCCGGCATCCTGAGAAAGTTTATCCAGAGGGTGAAGGCCATGAGCGAGGGGGACGAGGAGAGGGGAGAGGACAACTTCGGCAGCGACTTTATGGTGGGTTACATTTACATGAGCTTACCTAGCCTCCTTCACCTCTATATATCTCAACCAAACCTCCCTCCCCCATAATGTCCACCTTTTCCTCCACACGTACCCTCAATATCCCACCCCCTTCCCGGTCCTTGTCTCCCCCAGGAGGTGAGGCAGGGGCGGCCACACTGCCCTCTTCCTTTTCCTCCCATTTCCAGGCTTTACATGGCGGCCTAGCATTGTCTCCCAAAGCACAGACCACCGGCTCCTGTTTCTTTAAAATGCAGAGACAACAGCTAAACAACACACATTCACCCTCCAACCCCTGGGCTCATTTTTTACATTGCTTTGTTGGATAGCTTAGCCTATCAGTGAATGCTGCCCTAAAGTGTTATTGTGGCTTATGTCTGATAGCCATGCCTGACTGTTAAGATACAGTGCATGATTCATTGTCCTCACTTAGCAGGATGTATTATCCCTTATGGTGCGTCCTGTGGACAGTTTTGTTATGGTCTTTTCTCTATGAAATATGTGAGGTATGATTGCTCATAGTAGTAGTTTTGAGCAGATATGTACTGCAGTTGTAGACAAATCCACCTAAAGACTGTTAAACCAACGTTTGTGAAATATAGTCTTGCCAGTGTATTACACTCATTGATAAAATGATGTGCACAACGTATTAGAGACATATTGCAATGCAATCAAATGTAACTTACTACATTATGCAGCCTCTTAAATGACAATAAAGGTCATTCAAACTAAACTGAGTAGTCTAGCCTTCGTGAGGGGTGTTGCATTAGACTGGCTACATGTACCTACAAAAACTGGCAAATAAGTGTAAGGCCCATAGCTCAAATTATAAAGCATATTTTACGGTATTTTGTTACTCTAGTTACACGTGGAAAGGCCCTTTTGAGGTGAAATAGAGACATTTGTTGTTAAAGTAACATTAAGTTAGCCTTATGATGACCGCTGCTGACCTGCAGTCATAAGTTTACCCACCCTGCATCACTGGATGTTGTTGTGGCCCAACTCTGACCCCCAAATAGGGCTAGTCCCAGGCTTGTGAAATTGCTGAGATATTTGCAACATCATGTGGTCATTTTGTTTTAATGGCTGATTGGTATATGTGAGAAAATGTTGTGCTAACTGAGGGGATTTAATTTGTGAATCTAACCTTCATTAAATGTTCAGATACAATAGGCCTTTGTTCATTTGAATTAGTTGTAGTGGCAGATTGTAGGTTTAGCTTTCCTTTATGATACATTTAATGTTTCAGGCAAGGGAAGTGTTTGTTTTCCTTGAAAAAGAGGCTAATCAGCGTCAGAATTGTTTCTTCTTTCTGCCTACAGTTGCACACACACTTCGTTCTCCTTACTTCCCTACTTCATCCAAGCTGCTTGCTGGAGCTTGCAACATTCTTTCTTGGCCCATTTCATAACATTTTGTTCTGGCTTTAAAACTACAGCTTTATAGACACCTCTGCACACTTTGGATACAAGTTACACCATTTGTCAGGACATTTGTTACATAGCAGATTCACAAGTAAGGAAATGTGTGAATATTTGTCAATTTCTGGGCTGATAACATGACCTGTCCTGTGCTTCGAGCGAGTGTTTCATAAAACTGGGAGGAAGCGAGGGTTGCGTTAAGACCAGACCATGCAGGGCGTTGGGCTGTGAGAGGCATTGAGGAAGTGCATGTGATGAGAAAAACAAATTATTATTTAACTTTATGCTATAGCCATTTAGTTGGAATTATTATCTAGTAGTTGTACATTTGCTTAAACTGATATTAAGCATGCTTTTTTATTGGCTGACAGTTGATTTTCTAAGACTTCTTAATGTCAATTTTCCCAATAAAACATCCCGTCAGCCCCCGCTTTTTAATCAGATACTTGCTTTTCAAACGTTATGACATCACTGCTTGTCACGCCTTAACTCTTCATGTGATATCTGTTCAATTTCTTTTCAATAAGCTTTATTGGCATGAAACCCAGTAATTCCCTTCTACAATGAGTTTCTGTGAGCCCTAGCACTCATCCCTTCAGGCAGTAACATGACCGTTAAACAGCTGATGTGAAAAAGTAATGTATGTGCTCCAATTAGAACTATTTCTTAAATCTGGGTATTCACAGTAATTAAGTTATTTTGTGGAGTGTCAGCTTTATGGTATTTATTTTATGGAGCTTCAAGGATCTGGTAGTGAATTTAAAGTAGCACCTACATTATTCAGCCTACAGAACCGGCCTGTAGACCAGAAATGTTGTTCTGATGGAGAACAGGCGGGTTGTGTCTGTGCCAGTGTACCGAGCACAATTAAAACTGCTCATCAGCCACAGGCAACATAAGTCAGTGCTTTAGCTGGTCGCTGCCGCTCTGTAGTACCAATTTCAAGCCTTAAGTGAAGCTTTCAATTGCTGGAGTCAAACTCACAACACCACAAGCGCATGGGGTGTGCTCCTTTGCACACTGAGTCACCAGAACACCCTGACATCACACCCACTTTAACTGCCTATTGTTGTTTATATATAGAAAGTGTTTTATAAGCATAATTACAGTGCTCTGCGAAGGCAACAAGTCCGATTATTTGCCTTGTTGGTTCTTCTTCTGCAGCTTCTTCATGGAACAAGAACACTTCATTTCTGGCACCCAAATGTGTCCTTTAAAAAACAATTGCGACCCATTTAGACCGTCTCTTTTATAACAGGGTGTTGTTAATTATAAAGAATTTTGTTTAGCAACATTCATATGGAGACGGCTGATCTCATTACACGGCACATACTGGTGCATGTGTTGCGATGACATCGGAGTGTTCCATGAAGTGTAAGGAGACAGCTTCAAGGTGTAAATTAGACTCACTTCAGTCATAATCCTGGTGTTTTAGTAATCAAAATAACGATTTAAGCTTCAGCAATGATATCATGCAGCTTGTAATCAGCAAAACAAACACTGATAATTTAAACCAATCTGGTCTGATGATAATGGCTTCATTCAAGGGGATACAAAAGGGATGAACGGTAATATGTACTGTCGAAGTGTGTCTTATAACGCAGGTTCTGCATCAACGGAACATCTATGCATTCGCTGTTCACAAAACCAAACAATGGCAATCTGACTTGTACAAGGGTAGTTATCAACCAGCTCTGTCAACCCACGACTTTCCAAACCAGCTATTAGTGCGCTTATGTAAGCGAGGACCGACTGTGTGCAAATAGATAGTTACAGAGGCATTGTTATGGACCCATCCAGAGAAGATTTTAAAAGAAGATAACATATTTGGGGAATACTTGCTCATTGCTCAAAAAGAAACAATATAAACAACCAGAATCAGGGTCAGAAATAATTGTGGGCAAAGGGCAACTGTGCCACCAAACACACATTTGTTGTGTGATTGTGGCCAGTAAACACTTTTATTTTGAACCAAAAACTGACAAAGTAAGACGTCCAACAGGTAAAATATATCAGTAAAATAATACAAAATAAAGTGTCAGTCTGATGTTAACAAATCTGTGGATCTAAACCAGGGCTGTCCAAACTACGGCCCGGGGCCAAACGCGGCCCGCGGGCAATTTTGAATCGGCCCTCAGCAAATTAAAAAAGTGCTTGTTTTGTATTGTACTTCTTAAATATATATGAAAACAGATATTACACAGTATTCATGTGTTAAGAAGCCCACTCTTCAAACAAATTCAGTCAATTCAAGTTTAAAACAAATCTAACTTGATAAGAAAAAAGCCCAATAACTTATTTTCATAACACACTTGAAATATATCCTTCCTATTTCCTCTTATGATAAGCAATCTGAGGCTTCTGTTTGAAGGAATGAGCTGCTCCCCTTTTGAGAGCTGTGATGTAGGCTGTTGTTTTTCTTAAAGCATATTCAAGTATTAAGCATAATTTACCTACATTTCATTGATTTTGATGACTTATAACTTAACTTACGAGGCAATATACCTCACCTCTAGTGAGTGGCCCAGCCCTTCGTATATTTTTCTGAAAAAAGTTTGGACACCCCTGATCTAAACCTTGAATTTCCCTCCAAAATATAACAGAAGAATGTAACATAGTTTTCGTTATGGCGGCTAAATAGGACTTTTAAATTGTAGTCGATCTGAATGAAAGAAAACCCACAATATCACCAGATTTTTCATCGTGAACCCTTTGGTTTTTCTCGCCCTGTTTCTTAAAGTCCAGTTCATTTGTTGACTTGTTGATGTTGACTTTTCCGTTTGAATAAGGTTACATTTAGTTTTGACCAGAACATTCTAAACTCATGTTGCTGACTCATAATTCGGGTTTGTGAACGCAGATCCACACATTCTGCACAGCGATAACTGCTGCTGTTGTGAAGGCAGTATTTCGCCCTTCAGGTTTGATGTCACTTCCTGTGGGCACATTCATTCTCTCTATTTGACTTCAATTAGGGCAAAGAGAGAGAAGCAAGAGAGAGAAGCAATTTAGGGACGCTGGTGGTCTTTCATGTAGGGTCACGTTTTGATAATGCAGTTAATTGATTGTATATGTCTTTAGAGTTGAGCTTGAGGACATACAAACTGCAGGGATTGGGATTGGGACCTCTGTGTTATGGGACATCTCTGTATCTGCTAGGCCACCATGCAGCCTGACAGAAACCTGCTATTACTTGTATCCAAATTCCTCACACTGTTGAACACGTTTTACATTTTTGCAGGGTTGTCCCCAGTTGATATGCAAACCCTGGCAGTGGGACATTTGTTATATTTGATACTGTATGTCTTATCACAGAATACACAACATTGAACTAATCCAAAATCTAATTTGTTGTCAATAATGGACCTGAGAACACATTTCTTTAAACACATTGCAATTTTGGCGTCTGTTCATGTGCTCCCATATTGCATAGAAACAGACGTCTGCTTATGAACAGATGCCTGGATATTGCATGCTATGTATGAGATAGCAGGAGATACTTGAAGTGTCCTATAGAGGTGTAAGAATCCTCTCACAGGTTCAGCAAATGTAGCTACCAAGTGTTTTAATGTG